TGCTAAATTCACTTATGGATTTTAGTAGCATTTTGTACACTTCTTAGGATTTTATGTGCACATGATCATGTCTTGCAAAAATAAATTTTACCTTTAAAATTTCTAATCTGTAAGCTTTTTCTTGCCTTATTCCACTAGTTAGTACTTACAGTACAATTTTAAATTTGTTCCAAATTGGGAAAGGAGTATATCAGGGCTGTATATCGTCACCCTGCTTATTTAAATTATATGCAGAGTACATCATGCGAAATGCCACACTGGATGAAGCACAAGTTGGAATCAATAATACCAGGAGAAAGATCAATAACTTCAGATATGCAGATGACACCACCCTTATAGGGCAGAAAGTGAAGAGGAATTATAGAGCCTCTTGATGAAGGTGAAAGAGGAGAGTGAAAAAGCTTGGTTAAAATTCAACACTCAAAAATTAAGATCATGGCATCTGGTCCTATCACTTCACAGCAAATAGATGGGGAAACAATGGGAACAGTGAAAGACTTTATTTTCTTGGTAAAAGGTAAGGCCACTCTTACCTTCTGAGATGGCCTGCACTCTGTCTGTGGAGTGTGTTTCTCTCTAAATAAATCCACTTCTTACCTATCACTCTGTCTCTCACTGAATTCTTTCTGTGATGAGACATCAAGAACCTGAGCTTCATTAAGTCCTGAGACCAGGTGTGTGAGACCCAATTAAAAGACAGTGGGTTCAAGTCCCAATGTGAGTTGCATGGTTTCATGGCCATATAAATTTTGGAATCATCTTGTCAATTTCTATGGGGTTTCCCAGGTGGCGCTAGTGATAAAAAAATCCACCTGCCAATGCAAGAGATACAAGATATGAGTGTTCTATCCCTGGGTTGGGAAGATTCCCTGGAAGAGGAAATGGCAACCCATTCCAGTATTTCTTGCCTGGAAAATTCCATGGACAGAGAAGCCTGGCAGGCTACAGTCCATAGGGTCACAAAGAGTCAGACATGACTGAGTGTGTCAATTTCTATATAAAGCCTGCTTGGATTTTGAATGTGACTGTAATAAATCTATGGATTTGGAATAAATAAATAAATCTATTAGAATTTGGGAATAATTCACATCTTAACAGTACTGAGCCTTCAGTGCTATTTTCCATTTATTTATGTCTTCTTTAATTTCTCTCAGAAATATCTTGTAGTTTTCAATACTTGTCTTGCATATATTTTATTAAGCCTATCCTTAAAGGTATCATGTTTTTACATGATTGTAAATGGTATTTTTTAAAATTTGTTACTAATTCACCATTGCTAGTATTTTTTTAATACTCATATTATTTTTATATTGGCAGTGTACCCTGTAATATTGCTAAATTCACTTATGGATTTTAGTAGCATTTTGTACACTTCTTAGGATTTTATGTGCACATGATCATGTCTTGCAAAAATAAATTTTACCTTTAAAATTTCTAATCTGTAAGCTTTTTCTTGCCTTATTCCACTAGTTAGTACTTACAGTACAATTTTAAATTGAAGTAGTGAAAGCAAATGTCCTTTCTTGTTCTCCATTATATGGGGAATACATTCAGACTTTCATCATTGTGTGATGTTAGTTTTTCCCCCAATTTTAAAAAATGTGCTAAAGAATATATAAAATTTACCATCTCATTCATTTTTATATGTACTGTTCACTGGTATTAAGTACATTCATATTGTTGTGCAACCACCACAACTATCAATCTCCATAAATCTTTTCAACTTGCAAAACTGAAACTCTATAGCCTTTAAATAATAACTTCTAATTCTTCCTTCCCCCAGCCCCAGAAACCACCATTCTACTTTCTGTCACTATCATTTTGATTGCTCTAGACACTTCATAGTTACTTTTTGTGACTGGCTTATTTCATTGACCATAAGGTTCTCAAGTTTTATCCCTCCCATAGAACATTACAGAATTTCCTTCCCTTTTAAGGCTGAATAATTTTTCATAATATGTATATACCACATTTTGCTTATCCACTCATCTATTGACAGACACTTGGGTTCACCTTTTGGCTATGTTCATAATGCTGCTATGAACATGCAAAACAAATAAAAATATCTCTTCAAGACTCTGTTTTCAGTTCTTTTGGGTATACATCCAGAAGTGAAATTGCTGGATGATATGGTAATTATGTTTTTAACTTTTTGAGCAACCACCATGCTATTTTCCATAGTAGCTGCATTTTTATACCTCCATCAGTGGTGTATAAGAGTTCCAATTTGTCCACAACCTTGCAAAAACTTACTTTCTGTTTTTTTCATAGTAGCCATCCTAATGGGTATGAGATGGTATCTCACTGTAGTTCTGAGTTGCATTTCTCTAATGATTAGTGGTGTTGAGCATTTTTTCATGTACCTGTTGGCATTTTGTATGTCTTCTTTGGAGAAATGTCTATTCAAGCCTGTTGTCCATTTTTTAACCATTTTTGTTGTTGTTGAATTTTAGGATTTCTCTATATATTTTGGCTTTGATTCCCTTATCAGATACATGCCATATATATATTAAAAACTACATACTATATATATATATATATACACATACATACTATACATATATATATATATATAAAAACTATGCAGGGGGGGAAACCTAAGTATAAACACTGATATTAACAAAAATATTACCAGCTTTTTCAGTGTGGTTAGAGAAATGAATATATTTTTCTTCAGTTCAGTTCAGTTGCTCATTCATGTCTGACTCTTTGCAATCCCATGGACTGCAGCACGCCAGGCTTCCCTGTCCATCACCAACTCCTGGAGCTAAGTCAAACTCATGTTCATTGAGTCAGTGATGCCATCTGACTAAATTTAGGGGAAACTAAATTTTTCTTAAGTTTCCCATTTTCCAATTCTATTTAACAGCACATTAATTTTAAAATGAAACATGCTTAAAATGTTGGTTGTAAAAAAATAATAAAACGTTGGTTGTTAGGATTACAAAATGGAAATATACTTGATATAAAAACACAATAAATATATTTATGGTATGGTCATGACTCTGTGTGTATAGATAGAGAATGAGAAAAAAAATTGAAAGAAAAGTGCAAAATGTTAGCAAGTGTTGTTTAATATGGGATGATTGTTGAGTACTTTTTTCCTCTTTATTTTCCAAGTTTTCTGTAAGGTGTTTATTGATGTTACCTTTATAATAAATGCATTTGTATAAGTATACCAGGATAATCATCCTCAGGTCTCCAAGATTGCACCAGGTCTTATCTTGGCTTTCTGCTGAGACTTGCCTCATGTCAGAACAATGATAGGCCTATATATAGTGCATTAAAATTCTATTGTGTAATATTAGGATTTACCAAGCCCATAGCCAGATCCCAGGCAAAGCTGCTGCAATGATTTTTCACACTATAGTTGAAAGAACATTGAATGGACCAAGAAGCAGGAAACATTGTTTCTATTCTCAGAGCAGGATCCTTCTTCAGGGAACTCATTTAATTCTGTTTCCTAATTCCTAAGCCAAAAGGATAGATTGCTGGGAGACTCTCTAACTGCAGATCATATACAGAAAGGTCAGCTCAGAAAGGTGAGATCTGAGCAGGACAGATGTCGAAACTTGGTGCAGAATGAAGCAAGACTCCAAGAGAGTTTGGGAAAGCAGGCAGTATGGTTTATGAACTCTCACCTACAAAAATACTGAGTAAGAACTCAAGGAGTTGGGTCAAGAACCAAAGATTTCCCAAAATTCTGAGCAAACTTTAGACATCTGAGTAATGGCACACAGCATTAACAACAGGGCTTGAATCACCCAAGGACTTTTGTACATTCTATCCAGGAAAGGAGAGTTTCATGGTAGGATCTGACCACATGGAATTTAAGTAGGGAGTCCAGGCTAGAATGGAGAAATGTACAGAGAAAAATGCAGTTCCAGTTATATAAGCATTTCACTAAGAAAATACTATGCTGAAACCCAAAAGTTTCCTTTAATTCTGGGAGGCAAAGTACTTCTCAAAATAGCACTGTCCAAGAGAACTTGTTGAAATGATGGAAATGTTCTGTATTTGTAATATTCAATACAGCTACCCAGGTAGCTCCTGGTTAAATGGAACTATTGAGTAGCAAGTAGTAGCCACTGGGTTTATGGAAACACATAGCAAGTGCAACTGAATTTTTAATTTTATTTCATTTAATCAATTTAATTTTAAATGTAAATAGCCACATATAGCTAGTGGCTACCATATTGAGCAGTACAGCAAAGGTCCAACAGAATCCTGTTGTTCTTTACAGTCACAGAACATAAATAATGAAAAAATTCTGTTTTTAGATATGAAGAACATTACATTTTTCTTTGTAGCCTGTATACAAACATGTATAAATGTTGTGTGTGGTATTGTTCCATAAGGTGCTAAATCAGTTCCACATATTTCTCAGAAATCCATGCCCTTTCCAGAGTAAACCTAGATTAACCACTTTCTGGGATCAACCTGAAAATGCATTCACCCAAGATGAACCAGAAATCACCTTTGCTCCAAATGAGCTTCTAAACTATGGACAAAGTGAGACACAGCACCCACAGGGCTGAGTTAACAGCTCTAAGGCCTGCCTTCATCTTTTTTTTTTTTTTTTTTTGCCTTCATCTTAAGCTCAGACCAGATCTGGGCTCTGGGGTTTGGAAGGCACAGCTGGACGTTCTTTCAGTGGTACTCACCACAGAATCAATGAGCACAGACAAGGATATTCCTAAGTGAAAACTGTCTCTAAGTTTTCCCTAAGTGCAATAAATAATAGAGGCCTGTATAACAGTCAAATTGCCAAATTTCTAGGGAATTTCATGGCGAACCAGTGGTTAAGGCTAGGCACTTTCACTGCTGTGGCCCAGATGCGATCCCTGGTTGAGGAACCAGGATTCTACAAGCTGTGTAGTGTGGACAAACAAACAAACAAACAAACATACAGATTTCTACTCCGGATTCTAGACTTAGAAATGCAGAAACATTCCAATTTATTCCTACCCTGATACAATGAAGAAAAGTGAGAGATAACCTAATGCCAAAACAGGTTTATTGCTTATTATACACAAAAGAATGTGAGCAACTTGCAAGTATTCAATATAAAAAGACTCAGGACAATTTGCTTTCTTTTCACCCTAAGAAAGCATACCATCTCCAGGCAAACAGAGTGCAATCAAACTTAAAGTTTACATAACAGACATACTTTAAAGAAGTCCCTGCTATTTAGGAAAAAGGACAAAATTGTCTAAAAGTAAATGAAATGTAAAAAAACTAGAACTGTTATACTGATTCCTGTAGTAACATTAACTATTGTTTGTCTATAACATAAGACAGACTGAAAACTTAAATTGAAAAATAAAGTTGGATTTTTTTCAGCTTTATTGAAGTATACCTGATAAACTTACTTATTAGTATTTCAAAAAGGAATAAAGTTCTGATAACCTTGTTGGGTATCATTTTTTTTTAAACTTCTGGCTAAGAGTTTTACCAACCCCCTTCAAACCAAAAAATACAACAAAAAAATTTTAAGTATAGGTTCTTCCAGACACTAAGTCCAAAATTGTTCCCTTCTTCAAATCTTTTAAACCCAAATTATGAGAAATAATTTAGTCTGGCCACAGGGAACATTTCTACAGAATGACATAATCAGAAAATCTACTTCTTCCATTATTTAACTTATTCATTCCCATCCTAATCAAATTCCAGGAAGACAGAAAGTAAGAGGATATAATTTTCCCTAAAGACTGTGACTGAGGTAAAACTGAATTTACAACATGAGAAACTTAAGCACTGAGGAAGGCCCTGATGGCAGAGGAAATAAGCCACCTTAATGGCCTCAAAAACAAATTGCAGATCTCTAAGGCAGATTGGGAGAATCTGGATTTAACCAGGAATCAGTCTTTTCCAAAGCTGGGCAGGGAGGAAGTGTGGGAAGCCCAGCTTTTCTAAAAGGATGAAAAATGCTACTTGGAGACACTCTGGTTTCCTGAGGAAGGGAAGGAGACACTGAAACATCTTGTTTTGCACCTTTTAGATCTTCCTTGTTTTCCACCATCAATAACTGTTCTATCTCCTCTTTCAAAGATAAACTTGTCTGAAATTCTTGTTTAGGTATCTCGAGATGTTCTTTCTGAGTTATTCTCTGGTCTTTAACCCCCTCTGACTCAGGGTAATTTAGGTTGTAACTGGTATCCTCGCTGGCATCTTCCTTTGTGGGAGGTAGATATTGAGGCTCTACTGTGGTTTGTTTACTCTTAGATTCTTCTTTCAGTAAATTTACATCCTCATGAGATGTGATATTTGAAGTTTTATCTTGTGTAGAATTTTTACAAAGTAAGAAACCTCGTACTTTTCCCTCTTCCCCTGCTGTCTCAGTCACCGATTTCTTTGGATGTAGTACTGTCCTTATTAGGAGTCCCTGCGCATTTACTCTATATTCTTTTGCCGCTCTCTCTCTGCGCTGCTTCTGGAAGTCCTGGAGTTGAAGCAGTTCCTCCGGGAGCTCCATACATGTAGGCTAAGAAAAGAAAATGAACACAAGTCTACTATAACTAAACTTCTGAAAATAGTCCTTAAAATCACTTCTACTAAACAGTATTTGGCAAGCAAGCATCTATTCAAATATGTTCTTATGGCACCCTCTAGTGTCTTCAACTATAATAGTACTATTTCAGTAATTTAAAATATGTTGAATCCAGTTTTGTATGTTGTACATGTGTGCATACATAAAGATTGTACAAAAAAAGTAAGGGTCCATTCCAATCTTGCCCCAACTGCCTTAGCAGGTACACCCTGTAAAAAGCAGCTTTTTGTGAGCCTCCCAGAGACAGCCTTTGCATATTTGATTTCTTACTAAATATCTTTTCATTCGATTATATTTTTCAGTTTTTATTTTCCTCCAACTTTTTATTTTGATAACTCTAAAAATACTTAATACAAATGGCAACGTTATATTTTTTCCATCTTTATTTTTCCAACTAAAAAATTTGTCTTAAGAGATTTTTCCATGTTGGCAACTTTAATGGCTGTATGGATATACCATATTAACCAAACTGTTGTTATGGATGGATATTTGGGTTGTTTCCAGTATCTTGTCATTACATAAATGCTATAATAAAGGATATATTAAGAAAATGTGCTCTCTGTTATGAGGCAAATAATTTTTCCCAGGTTGCTTGCCCTTTGACTTTGTTCACAGTATTTTCACTATACAAAATTTTTGAAGTCAAATTTATCTTTTTTGAATTCTGAGTATTTCTGTTGCACAGAAAAGCAACCTCTCATACAAATCAATAGCAAAAAAATAAATAATCTAATTTAAAAGTGAGCAAAGGACTTGAATAGACAATTTTCCAAAGAAGATATTTAGATGGCCAACAGGTACATGAAAAGGTGCTCAGTATCACTATTCATCAGGGAAATGCAAATCAAAACCACAAGTGAGATATTATTAGCACTTCTTAAGATGTCTATTATCAAAAAGACAGAAAACAAGTATTGGTGAGAATGCGGGACAAAGGGAACTCTCATACACTGCTGAGAGGAATGTAAACTGGCACCACTACTATGGGAAACAGTATGGAGGTTCCTCAAAAAATTAAAAATAGAACTATTATATGGTTCAGCAATCCTATGTCTGGGTACATATTTGAAGGATTATGAAAGCAGGATCGTAAAGAGACAGGTACATTCCTTGTTCACTGTGTCATTGTTAACAATAGTCAAGATATGTAAACAACCTGTGTCTATCAACAGACAAATGAATAAAGATGTGGTATATATATATATATACACACACAATAGAATATTTTTCAGCCATTAAAAAGAAGGAAGTCCTGCCATTTGCAATAATATATTTGAACCTGGAGGGTTATGCTAAGTGAAATAAGCCAGAGAGATAAAGAAAAATGATACATGGAATCACTGATAGATTAAATCTTAAAAAAAAAAGCATCAAACATGTTACTTCATAAAATAGAAAATAGAATGGTGGTTCCCAGGGGTTGAAGGAAAGGGAAATGGGAAGATGTAAGTCAGAGGGTAAAAACTTTCAGTTTTAAGAATAATAAGTAAAAAACAAACAAACAAAAAAAAGAATAATAAGTTCTGGGGATCTAATGTACAGCATGTTTACTATAGTTAATACTTGAAAGTTGCTGAGAGTATATCTTACGCATTCTCAGCACACACACAGAAAAAAGGTAGCCATGAGGTGATAGATGTGTTAATTATCTTAATCTTGGTAATGATTCCACAATGTATGTCATATCATAATGATGTACACTTTCAGTTCAGTTCAGTTCAGTCCCTCAGTCGTGTCCGACTCTTTGCGATCCCATAGACTGCAGCACGCCAGGCCTCCCTGTCCATCACCAACTCCCAGAGCTTACTCAAACTCATGTCCATTGAGTCAGTGATGCCATCTAACCATCTTATCCTCTGTCGCCCCTTTCTCCTCCTGCCTTCAATCTTTCCCAGCATCAGAGTCTTTTCAAATGGGTCAGTTCTTTGCATCAGGTGGCCAAAGTATTGGAGTTTCAGTTTCAACATCACTCCTTCCAATGAGTATTCAGGACTGATTTCCTTTAGGATGGACTGGTTGGATCTCTGTGCAGTCCAAGGGACTCTCAAGAGTCTTCTCCAACACCATAGTTCAAAAGCATCAATTCTTCGGTGCTCAGCTTTCTTTATAATCCAACTCTCACATCCATATATGACTACTGGAAAAACCACAGCTTTGATTAGACGGAACTTTGTTGGCAAAGTAATGTCTCTGCTTTTTAATATGCTGCCTAGGTTGGTCGTTAACTTTTCTTCCAAGGAGTAAGCGTCTTTTAATTTCATGGCTGCAGTCACCATCTGCAGTGATTTTGGAGCCCCCCAAAATAAAGTCTGCCACTTTCCACTGTTTCCCCACCTATTTGCCATGAAGTGATGGGACCAGACGCCATGATCTCAGTTTTCTGAATGTTGAGTTTTAAGCCAACTTTTTCACTCTCCTCTTTCACTTTCATCAAGAAGCTCTTCAGTTCTTTACCCTCTGCCATAAGGGTGGTGTCATCTGCACATGAGGTTATTGATATTTCTCCTGGCAATCTTGATTCCAGCTTGTGCTTTATTCAGCCCAGCGTTTCTCATGATGTACTCTGCATATAAGTTAAATAAGCAGGGTGACAATATACAGCCTTGATGTACTCCTTTTCCTATTTGAAACCAGTCTTGTTGTTCCATGTCCAGTTCTAACTGTTGCTTCCTGACCTGCATACAGATTTCTCAAGAGTCAGGTCAGGTGGTCTGGTATTCCCTCTTTCAGAGGGAATTCTCTTTCAGAATTTTCCAGTTTGTGGTGATCCACACAAAAGCTTTGGCAAAGTCAATAAAGCAGAAATAGATGTTTTTTTCTGGAACTCTTTTGCTTTTTCAATGATCCAGCAGATGTTGGCAATTTGATCTCTGGTTCCTCTGCCTTTTGTAAAACCAGTTTGAACATCTGGAAATTCACGGTTCATGTATTATTGAAGCCTGGCTTAGAGAATTTTGAGCATTACTTTACTAGGGTGTGAGATGAGTACAATTGTGTGGTAGTTTGAGCATTCTTTGGCATTGCCTTTCTTTGGGACTGGAATGAAAACTGACCTTTTCCAGCTTGTGGCCACTGCTGAGTTTTCCAGATTTGCTGGCATATTGATGCAGCACTTTCACAGCATCATCTTTCAGGATTTGAAATAGCTCAACAGGAATTCCATCACCTCCACTAGCTTTGTTCGTGGTGATGCTTCCTAAGGCCCACTTGACTTCACATTCCAGGATGTCTGGCTCTAGGTGAGTGATCACACCAATTGTGATATCTAGGTCATGAAGATCTTTTTTGTACAGTTTTTCTGTGTATTCTTGCCACCTCTTCTTAATATCTTCTGCTTCTGTTAGGTCCATACAATTTGTCCTTTATTGAGCCCATCTTTGCGTGAAATGTTCCCTTGGTATCTCTAACTTTCTTCAAGAGACCTCTCTTACCCATTCTATTGTTTTCCTCTATTTCTTAGCACTGATCACTGAGGAAGGCTTTCTTATCTCTCCTTGCTGTTCTTTAGAACTCTGCATTCAAATGGGCATATCTTTCCTTTTCTACTTTGTTTTTCACTTCTCTTCTTTTCACAACTATTTGTGTAAGGCTTCCCCAGACAGCCATTTTATTTTTTGCAATTTTTTTCTTGCAGATGATCTTGATCCCTGTCTCCTGTATAATGTTACAAACCTCCATCCAGAGTTCTTCAGGCACTCTGTCTATCAGATCTAGTCCCTTGAATCTATTTGTCACTTTCACTGTATAATCGTAAAGGATTTGATTTAGGTCATACCTGTATGGTCTAGTGGTTTTCCCTACTTTCTTCAATGTACGTCTGAATTTGGCAATAAGGAGTTCATGATCTGAGCCACAGTCAGCTCCCAGTCTTGTTTTTGCTGACTGTATAGAGCTTGTTCATCTTTGGCTGCAAAGAATGTAATCAATCTGATTTCTGTATTGCCTATCTGGTGATGTCTATGTGTAGAGTCTTCTCTTGTGTTGTTAGAAGAGGGTGTTTGCTATGACCAGTGCATTCTCTTGCAAAACTCTATTAGCCTTTGCCCTGCTTCATTCTGCACTCCAAGGTCAAATTTGTCCATTACTCCAGCTGTTTCTTGACCCCCTTCTCTTACATTCCAATCCCCTATAATGAAAAGGACATCTTTTTTGGGTGTTAGTTCTAGAAGGTCTTGTAGGTCTTTATATAATCATTCAACTTCAGTTTCTTCAGCATTACTGGTTGGGGCATAGACTTAGATTACCATGATATTGAAGTGGTTTGCCTTGGAAATGAACAGAGATCATTCTAAAGTTTTTGAGATTGCATCCAAATACTGTATTTTGGACTCTTTTGTTGACTTTAAGTACACATAATTTTGTCAACTCTTCCTCAATAAATTTGGTGAAGACATTTTCCTACTGTGAGATAATTTTCTTTTAATACTTTTGCCATTAATTTCATAATTCCATTTTTTTATAAATACCTGATCCATGGGATTTACTTTGGTGTAGCAAAAGATGTAACAATACAACTCTGATTTTACTCCTTCCACAGTGGTTAGTCAATTGTTTAAAGCCATTTACTAAATAATTTTTTTCTCACTGATTGGAAAGTCTACCTTTATCCCAATCATTACTGATATATATGAAATCTATGTCGGGGTTCTCTCCTCTCTTCCACTGATCTGCCTATACATGTATCACTGACATTTAACGTAGACATATAATATGTTTTAATATCTGACAGGACTATTCTTCGTTATGCCTATTCATCCCTATAAACATTATAAACACAGTTTACCAAAATAATTACAGTTTTAATATTTTTCCTAGAATAAAGTTAAATTTAAAAGTTAATTCAGGAATAATTGATAGGCAAAAATACTTAATGTCACCACGCATTTAAATCCTCTTTTACACCATTCAGTAATACTTTAACATTTTCTTCATCTCTATATAATCTATTTTTTGTTACAATTATAAATGAATGTTTTTCTCCTATTATATTCTCTAGCTGTATAATTTTATGTTATATTTGTACCCTTTACCAAATTGAATTTTTGTTTGTGGCAGTATTTTCCAGTCGATTCTCTTTAGTATTCGAATGTATCATGAGCAAGTCATAATTCCTGTTCCTCTTGTTCGATTTTTATAGCTCATTTTTTTTTCCTAATCCCACCGGCTAATAGCTTCAGAAACTACTAAAGTAGTGGTTATAGTCACCAATTTTGTATTTTGATATTATTGTTCCAAATCAAATATTATGTAGTCTTCTTGCTTGAGATATGCTTTATCATGTTAAAGTACGTATTCCAACTTTAATCAACAATTTACATAGAAAATTATTAAATTTTTTCAGCAAATAACAGTGAGAGTAAAATATTAAAAAGATAAAAAACTGTCCTTTACAGTGATAAATGAAAAACATTAAAATTCTCCAATCAAACTAACTATACAAGGACTTTTATGTTGTTCTTTTTTTGTTAAACAGTGAGGGCAAAATACATAAAAGTTACAAAATAACCTTCTCAGCATTTATGAGATAATCATAAGGCCTTCTTGGCCCTAGTAAAATATACAGAATTTAACATAATATAGTTGCTCAGTCATGTCCTACTCTGCGACCCCATGGACTGTAGCCTGCTAGGCTTGTCTGTCCATGGGGATTCTCCAGGCAAGAATACTGGAATGAGTTGCCATGCCTTCCTCCAGAGGATCTTTCCAACTCAGGTATTAAACCCAGATCTTCCACATTGCAAGCAGATTCTTTACCATCTGAGACACCGGGGAAGCCCATAATATTTTCTATCAATTATTAAATATTATGAACATAATATTAAACCATGCTTGTAACTATAATCCAGAGACACATTAATAGAAAATATAGGGGTTTCCATGGTGGCTCAGTGGTAAAGAATCCACCTGCCAATGCAGGAGACATGAGTTCGATCCCTGATCCAGGAAGATTCCGCATGTGGCAGAGTAACTAGGCCTGTCCACTACTATTACTGAGCCTATGCTCTAGAGCCCAGGAACCCGCAACTACTGAGCCCACGTGCCGTAACTACTGAAGCTCACATACCCTAGAACCTGTGTTCTGCAACAAAAGAAGCCACAAGAAGTCCAGATACCACAATGAAAAGTAGCGCTTGTTCTCCGCAACTAGAGAAAAGCCTGTGCAGCAGCAAAGATCCAGGACAGCCAAAATAAAATAAATCAATACTTGTAAAAATAAAAAAGCGTAATACATTGAGTAGAGTTTGTATCAAAAATGCTATTATTTTATTTAGGACTTTGCATCAAAATTCCTAAATGAGAAGGTTTAAAGCAGCAGCCTGTGAACTTTTTATGTAAGGAGTCAAATAGCAAATATTTCAGGCTTTGTAAGCCACAAACATGGCTTCTGCACACTTTTTATTTTTAACAACCCTTTAAGACTCTACAAATCATTTTTAGCTTGGGAGTTGTATAAAAATGGGCAAGATTTGGCCTTAATGCAATAGTCTATCAACAATATAAGTTTTCTTATATTGTGCTGGCTTCATAAAAATAACTAATGAAGTATTAAATTTATTCTTTCTTTGAAAGACATATTTACTGGAAATATAATTTAATATTGTGAAAAAGTTTTTACAATATTTAACAAAGGAGTTAGGGCTTCCAGCACATCAACTTTTAGTTTTATTGAAATGCATGTCACCAGTTGTATCATACGAAATAAGTGTCAGTGATCATAAAATATATATATATATTTATACATATATAAATACATATAAATATACATATATTTAATACATATATACATGGTAAAAAAAAGAAGTGCTCAAGTAGCTGCATTAAGCCCTTCAAGAATATTTACCACCAAGTCTGCTGAAAAAACTCTGGTGCAGCTGTGACGACTGGGTATCATTGTGACCCCCCATGAGAAAGCAGAAGTCTTGAAAACAAAGCCACAGAGTGGTACCTACCTCCATGCCTCCAAGTCGGTCTGCAGACCCTTCTCGGTAGGTGTTTAGGTATCCGTCCACCAGGGTAGTTAGGTCAGACATCATTTCATCCAAGAGTACCAAGCGAAGGGGGAGCAGGTAGGTAGCTTCCAAAGCCAAAATTTTCAGCAAAGAAGGTGAAAGTGGTCGTGTGAACCACAGTTCTGGGTTTTCCTAGAATATATCAAAACAATTTTCTCAGAATCTTAAACAAAACTTTAAAGAATGGTTTATTTAAGTGTTACTTAACTTAAATCACCATTACTGTCCTTTTCTTCAGTTATTACCTTCTACTTTCACACTATGGGTAGCCTTCTGAGAATATACACACATACACAAACATACTGTGTGTATACATTTGAGTGTGAGTATGTCATGGAGGAAAGATGTGGGGGAGGGAGGGAGGGAAGAAGGTGGATAGGGGGAGAGAGAGGGCTTGAGAGAGAGATCGGGGCTTCTCACGCAAAACTGGAAGCAGCAAGACTGATTATATGGCCAAAACTGCAGCCAATATGATCATGACTTAAGTTTACATGCAAGGCTATTAGAAGCTGAAGAAAATCTATCTAACTTTGGGGGAAGTAATTGGCATGATTTTTGTTCCAGTGCCTTAATCCAAATTCCCAATAAAATCCCCTCTTATCCAACTTGAAAATTTATTTTAAAGTACTTTAACCAACAAATCTGGATGCTGGTTTTTTCCCACTTGAGACTACAAACTGCTCCCATTTGAAACAACTAAGATTTTGCCAATGTCCATATGCTTTTCATAGAAGCTGTCATTTTTCTATATAATATGCTAATAATCCCACTCACAAGACACTTGAAAATATTAATGTCATATGAGACATAGTTTAATACTCACTCGAATCCATTTTTGTCTCACTTCCAGAAAGGAGAGATGTTTAGGGGCTATTTTAAGGTGTCTGATTAAACTCTCCTGTAAAGTACTAATGCAGTTTGGAAGAAAGCCACCCGTTTCCACGGAAAATTGAAGGACATCTGCTACCTGTGGCATTCAAAAAGAACAAACAGACCAATCCATAGAATATATTACAGAGAGCTATCTCATGACAGAAATATATTTGGAGAAATGTCTTTAAATACCATTTTTCCCAAGAACCCACGTGACAGACAATGCCATCAGAAAAGTTTAAGTTGTTAGGTTAACTTATTCTGAAAAATTAGAAAAGAAAAAGGACCACACAACTTTAATGTGTCCCTATTTTCTCTTCCACTTCTTTTATTTGCCCATGTTATGATTATTTATTACTCTTTGGTGCCTTCAATGAATGGGGAAAGGAAGATAAAATTAAAGGATCACTTCTACTTATTAGCAACTCTGGTAAAGTTTTGGTAAGGAAAGCTAATAAAATTAAGAATTATAATCATTATTTATCTGTGTGTGGTATGCTAAATAATGGCCCCTGAAGATATCCACATCCTAATTTCTGGACCTGTGAATATTATCGTAAATGGCAAAATGGACTTTGCATCTGTGATTAGTTAAGGATACTGAGATAGGGAGATGAATTATCTGGGTGGGCCCTAAACATAGTCACAAGTGTTCTTATACGATGAGGCAGGAGATTTTATTACAGTCAGAGGAGAAGGTGATGTGATGATGAAACAAGAGATTTGAGCGATATACTTTGAAGATGGAAGGAGTCACAAGCCAAAGTACAGGTGAAAGCTGAAAACGCAAGGAAACAGATTGTTCTCTCACAGCCTCCAGAAGAAACTAGCCCTGAGGACACCTTGACTTTCACCTGGTGAAAATGATTTCAGATGTCTGACCTCCAGAACTGTAGGAGAGTAAATTTATGTTTTAAGACACAAAGTTTACGGTGATTAGTTACAATAGCCACAGAAAACTAATACACTGTGTTAAAGGAAGACAAATTGAAATAATTCTGAATTCCTGCTTCTCGCACTATGAAAAACTGAAAAGAAAAATATAGAAAGACATGCCAGGGACTTCCCTGGTGGTCCAGTAGTTAAGACTTCGCCTTCCAATGCAGGGGATGAGGGTTTAAACCCCAGTTGGGGAACTAAGATCCCACATGCCTCATAACCAAAAAAAAAAAACAAAAACAGAAAATAGAAGTAATATTGTAACAAATTTAATAAAGACTTTAAAAAATTAAAAAAATGACAAGACAATGTCTTCATTAGACAACATATATGGGCTCTAATCAAGAAGCTGAATGGCCTCAAGGGAATGATAAGCAATTCTTTTACAATCTGGAGTTAGCAAAGAAGCAATCTCTATACAGTGAATGCTCTTCAAAGAAGACCCACAGGTCTTCTGGCACAAAGTTCATTATAAGCAGATACATAAAGAGCAAACTTCAACCACATACAATAACATAAAGTTGAACTTTTAGGAATTTCTGTTTATAAATAATTGGCTAACTCATTATTTTAACCCCCCTCAAAGGTTCTAGGTTTTTATATTCAAGATCTCCCTTTCATGGCATTAATCTAGAAGATTAGAAGAACTTAAATAATACATAATGAAAATTAGTAGTTTTATGGCTCTCACAGACAAATCAGAAACCCAGATCAGCTCTAAATCTAGTATAGTCTAGGAATTTCTCTAGGCCCTTTAGACCAGAGAAAAACCACTTATCTTCAGGCTATTTGGGGCCAGAATAGGCTTTAGGGGCACATCTAGGACAACCTGCATCCCTGAGCTAGAAGCCCATTAGACATTAGCCTTAACCGATACCTGGTGGCTTAGATGGTAAAGAATCTGCCTGCAATGCAGGAGAGCCAGGTTCAATCCCTGGAATGGGAAGATCCTCTGGAGAAGGGAATGGCTACCTAGTCCAGCATTCTTGCCTTGAGAATTCCATGGACAGAGGAGACTGAAAGGCTACAGTTCATGGGGTCGCAAAGAGTTGGACACAGCTGAGCAACTGTCACTTTAACTGATACATGTGTGGTAAAGGCATAGACATGACGGTACCTCACAGTAAGAGTCCGTGTCAGATTTCCAAATAACCCCCAAATTGTTCAAGTTTCTGAATGTTATAGAGCTTAGAGCTTGCTTCTTACTTGAAAAATTCTGGAGCAAAATGAAGGGAAAAAACCCTAAATACTTCCAAATAACTTTTCTGCAGTGCTTCTACAGTTCACCAAATGTTCTCACATATTGTACAAACATATTACAGAAGAAGTGGGCAGGAATGAGGCACACACAAAAAGACTTCAATCACTCATCAGACAACGCTTATTTTCTACAGAAACCATATGTACAATAGATTGATTCAAGCGTTTCCCTACATGTACCTGGGTGTCAAAGACATTATTCAGCAAAATTCCATACTGATGAGAGAGGCAATCAGAAAGCCAACGACAATCATGGATAACCTAAGGAATCAGAAGACAGAGTTATTAGAACCTTGTTATTACTCTTACTAGCAGATGAATCAGCTTACACACTCACCTTCAAAATTCTCTTGTCTTCTAATACCATCTGAAGTCCATTGTTGAAAGCACGACTTCCCAGAAGGAAAATGTCAAACAAGTAAACCCGGCTATTTGTGGCCACCTGCAATAGACCATCCAGACACATATTATAAGACAGAGCTAGAGAAGAGGAAGACACGAAAGAAAGGGTCAAGAAAGACCTGCAAATAATATTTAACATCCACATTTTTAAAGTAAACAATATGCACTCATTGACTCTTAGGGAATAGGTTTAAATTTATCTTAAGTTAAAAAAAAAAACCACACTGGAATCAACAAGTCCACATTGCTACTTTTTTTTTGCACTGCTATATTTAAAATGTATAACAAACAAGGTCCTACTGTATAGCACAGGGAACTCTGATCAATGTTATATGGCAGCCTGGATGGGAGGGGAGTCTGGGAAGGAAAGGAAATGTATATGTAGGACTGAGTCCCTTTGCTGTGCACCTGAAAATATAACACTGTTATCAGTTATACTCCAATATAAAATAAAAAAGTTTTTTAAAAATCCACAAATACACTATCTCTGTGATCTTTCAAAGGAAAGAAAAGGACAAGTTGGTGGTTTAGCCTTTAGCTTTTTTTTTTTCAATGTTTTACATTTCGCCTGTGGCATCCTAATATTCCGGAATTATAGGTTTAAGGGGAACTAACAGTATTTAATTCTCAATAACACAAAATGCTATTTCTCTGAATTCCATAACATGCATGGTCATGTTAGGTGTTACATAAAATTACTCAGAAGATCCTTGTCCTTTAGCAGTTTAAAGCAGGCAACAACATGCTGGCACAAATGGTAGGATGTGAAATACTGTCATTTTGATCAATTTTATACAATTATAAGAATTATAGGCTGTTTCTGATCATAAAAGTCACAAAGGTTATATAGTTGTATAATGTACTGAGTCAAAGAATAAAGGTAAAAACAGATCCAAATAGGTCTTGAGAGCCAGTTATGGGACAGGCGGATGGCTTCTTTGTCATTTCAGGAGCTACTGTTGCTACAGTTACAATTACCAGGCCAACCAAGCCCCATTCTCAAATCTTTCACGTTTTTGCTAGAATGTGACACCTGAAATAGTCAATCTCTGCTCTTTCTCTACCTCTTTAATTATAAAAATTGAATAGACACATTATAGAAGCTTGGAAAATAATTCTTTGCTAGACTGCAAACTCTGTGAGAGAAGAGATTATGTCCAACTCACCACTCATAACTGAAGCAACAACTAGAACAGAGCCAGGCCCATGGATGGCTATTATCCATCTTTTCAGTGAATCAGCGCATCATGCAGTACAACACTCCCTTCTTTTTTTCATATAACAATGTATATGACTCTAATAATATGCATTCAAATCTATACCCTACTTTTTTCTCTCATAAATTTTCAAACATTTTTCTATACTATATTTGTCAATTTTTGGCAGCCACATAAGATCTATCAAATATACTGTATTATCTCCTACTGTTAATTTTTTAAGTGGCTTCTGACTTTTCATCACTATAAATGCTGCCAAGATGAACAGGTTCGCACAGAATTAATTTTTTCTCCATATTTTGAATTATTTAGGATAGATTCCCAGAAACAAACATGAGAAGTGTGCCAAACGATTTAAAAAAAAAAACCTTTATGACTCTAAACAAATATTTGCTACCTTCACCTTAGGACATAATGTTATATTTGAAAAATTTGACCACAGATGAAGGTTAAACATTTAAATAATGTAAAGTCAAAGAAAAGCAGTCAGAAATACTGACAGAAAAAAAGCAGATTAGGAAAAACAAAACAGAACAAAGAAAGAAACACAAAATGAAAATAAAGGTATAGGAATTGAAGATGCCAGATACTAAGAAAAGTGAGGAGCTAGAAATAAGGTGATGGGCTGAAGGTCTGTATAAATAAGTCTCTAAGTTGCCCCTTTCCATTCCCATGGAGGACAGAAGATATATTCTCTGGATAAATCCAATGAGACAGGCTCTAGGGTTGGGAATATAAGATATAGAAGAGAGCAGGGGGTTGGTAATGGAGTCAGAAATGAGTCTGCACACTGAATTCTGAGCCTCTAGGCCTCTTCCCTTGTAGCTTCCAGCTTGGCATCACCAGCTTGCATTGGAACAAGAGGATAGAAGGCTCCAGGGAAAATGGCTTCAATACAAAAATGCAGCCCAGGTTATCAGAATAGACGTAAGCTTGTGAAAAACTGTACTGAGGGGAAAATACGGGAAGGCTTAGCCACAAATGAAAGGAAAACAAAGCTAGTAAGATGACAATTATCAATTCTATGAAAAACAAAAAGTTGGGCAAGAAAAGAATAATCTTACTGGCTCAACAAGGAGCAATGATTACATAGTCATAATCACATACAGCCTGAATCCTGTCTTAATCAAAAATTGGGATATAAATTCCCCCACCAAAAAAAAAAAAAAACCAAACAAACAACACCCCACCAAAAACACTAATTTAAAAAGACACACAACCCAATGTTCAAAGCAGCATTATTTATAATAGGTTATTACCTGAAATAATCTAAGTGTTCATCAACAGGTGAAAGGAAAAAGAAGTGGGAGACACACGTGCACACACACACAATGGAACACACTCAGCCATAAAAAAGAACACACTTTTGTCATTCACAGCAACATGGATGGACCTGGAAGGCGTTACCAGACACAGAAAGAGAAATACTGTAGGATATCACTTATATGTGTAATCTACAAAATACAACAAACTAGTGAATATAACAAAAAAAGAAGTCAACTCACAGATACAGAGAACAAACTAGTGGGGAAATATAGGGGTAGGGGAGCAGGAGGTACAAACTATTGGGTGTAATATAGGCTCAAGAACATATTGAACAACATGGGGAACACAGCCAACAATTTTGTAATAACTGTAAGTGGAAAGTAACCTTTAAAAATTATATAAAAATATGGGTTTCTCTGGTGGCTCAGTGGTAAAGAATTTGCCTGCCAATACAGGAGACACAGGTTCAGTCCCTGATCCAGGAAGATCCCACACACTTAGGAGCAACTGAGACTGTGCACCACAATTATTGAGCCTGTGCTCTAGAGTTCAGGAGCCACAACTACTTAGCCTGCTTGCCCTAAAGCTCAGGCTCCATAAAAAGAGAAACCACCACAGGAAAAAAAAACCTGTACACCACAACTAGAGACTAGCCCCTGCTTGTCACAACTAGAGAAAAGCCCATGCAGCAATGAAGCCCTGACACAGCCAAATTAAATAATCAAATTATTTTTAAAAAATCAGTTGTATTCTTATAAAAAGTTATATAAAAATAAAAATTCTTAAAAATTGGGATATAGCTACACTGGTAGGCTCTATGGAATATGGGTGTTATAGAGAGCAAAATCCTTATTTAATATAGTAAAAGTTAATAATTTGGAAAACTAATTAATAAAGAGGGAACAATGGCAAATTATGAGAAAAAGGAAAACAAATATTTCAACATGTTAAAAGTCACTGCCTCTGTATTTTGTGTGTCTGGTTCCCTAGTTTTTGAGGCTGCTACCAGAGGATGCCTGTTGATGGCACGGCTCTGGTGCTGGGGTGGCTTGTATTTCTGGGTCCTACAGGAGTGTGGCAACTGGAGGGGCAGTTCTTGGCAGGCTACCACAACCCCCGCCCAGGGCACTACACAGACAGTGGACTGGGGCACATACTCCAGTCTTTCTGTGAAGAAGAGCTCTTTGCTTGTCCTGGAGCTTCAGCCTGAGGGGCAGGTACCAGGGTCGGTACACTTTAGTGGACTATGGAGCTGCTCTCAAGGAACATAAGCTATGGACTCCATATTAATGCTTTCCCTTGCTCCAGCTTGCCGATATCACCCAGAAGAGTGCTAATACATTCATCTGGAACCCTGATCTCTGTAACTGCCATGAAGGGGACATCTCCAGATTGCCCAGCTCTATTGGCCAGCAAGGTTTATACTTGTGGTCCCATCAGTTTAGTTCAGTTCAGTTGCTCAGTTGTGTCCCACTCTTTGTGACCCCATGAACCGCAGCACGCCAGGCCTCCCTATCCATCACCAACTCCCGGAGTCCACTCAAACCCATGTCCATTGAGTCAGTGATGCCATCCAACCGTCTCATCCTCTGTCGTCCCCTTCTCCTCCTGTCCTCAATCTGTTCCAGCATCAAGGTCTTTTCAAATGAGTCAACTCTTCGCATCAGGTGGCCAAAGTATTGGAGTTTCAGCTTCAACATCAGTCCTTCTGATGAACATCCAGGACTGATCTTTAGGATGGACTGGTTGGATCTCCTTGCAGTCCAAGGGACTCTCTTTTTTTTTTTTCCAAGGGACTCTCAAGAGTCTTCTCCAACACCACAGTTCAAAAGCATCAATTCTTGGGGCTCAGTTTTTTTTATAGTCCAACTCTCACATCCATACATGACTACTGGAAAAACCATAGCCTTGACTAGATGGACCTTTGTTGACAAAGTAATGTCTCTGCTTTTTAATATGCTGTCTATGTTTGTCATAACTTTTCTTCCAAGGAGTAAGCATCTTTTTATTTCATGGCTGCAGTCACCATCTACAGTGATTTTGGAGTCCAAAAAAATAAAGTCTCTCACTGTTTCCACTGTTTCCCCACCTATTTGCCATGAAGTGATGAGACCAGATGCCATGATCTTAGTTTTCTGAATGTTGAGCTTTAAGCCAACTTTTTCACTCTCCTCTTTCACTTTCATCAAGAGGCTCTTTTGTTCTTCTTCACTTTCTGCCATAAGGGTGGTGTCATCTGCATATCTGAGGTTATTGATATTTCTCCCGGCAATCTTGATTCCAGTATGTGCTTCATCCAGCCTAGTGTTTCTTATGATGTGATCCCATAGGACTGTATACATTTGCATACTTTAAAAAGCTGTTGGCCAAGGGTCTCACTTCTAGTCGCCCTGAGTCTATGTGCTAAGATCATCTCCATGGGCACACTGACAGGTCTCGGGATATCCTCAACTACTGGGAGTTATTAAAAGTGTAACAGGCTGCTTAGACAGCAAAGAGGTTTGAAAGACAACCAGGAGCCGAGGCAGAGTTGAAGAACAAGGTAGGCTGATATAAGTCTTCATTCAAATGACGGGAGGATATCGGTTGGGAATTCAGCTGGCTTTTTTGGCCCACTACCCCTTTAAATACCAATCCATGGAGCCCTAGTGGTGAAGAATCCACCTGCCAATGCAGGAAACTAAGAGACAAGGCTTCAGTTCTTGGTTCAGGAAAATCTCCTGGAGGAGGGCGTGGCAAACCACTCCAGTATCCTTGCCTGGAGAATTCCATGGACAGGAGAGCCTGGCAGGTTACAGTCCATAGGGTCACAAAGAGTCAGACACAACTGAAGCGATTTAGCACACACACACCTTAAATACTGATGCTGCTGAGTTTGATTCAAACGTGGTTACCCATCCTATAGCTATTCAAGGCTCAGTACAAACTTCTTTGGATATAACAGAGACCCTCATCTGACATTTCCTTGATCCAGGAAAATGAAAATGATGTGGCAGAAATCTACTGTGGAAAGTTACCAACCAGAAGGAAAGATAAGAAATTCTCTGTATATCTAAGGCAAGAGAACAGAGCTGAGAAAGAAGACCCTAAGTAGAACCAATGAGACATCACCGATGATTATAAAGCTCTTTCCTTTTGAAAATAATAAACTGAGTACGAGGAAACTGAAAGACATTCCAAACAAGTTACAGGACAGCAACACTGGGGTGACATAAAAAGACAATTAAAATAAATTTATCAGTGAATCTACAATTATTTCAAAAGTTTTAAGAACTCTCTCACCTGAAGCCAACATAGTTTCCCATGACGACACACATTGGCTCCTTCTGCTGCCACACTCAGGACACTTTGCTTCTTGATGTGGAGCATCTGGTGAGAAAAGGAAGAAAATTAAAATCTCCAGGAAATAAATGCTGCAATTATGACATCATGAGTGGTACAAGTAAAATTGCTAGATGTAAACAAATTGGATCATACTTATTAAACTTACAAAATCCCAAACACGTTTGCTTCATGCACAAACACACACACACACACACATCACACTGAATACCTCTGATCTTCTTTTCAGTGTTCACAAAGTTATTCCACAACTGGAAAATAAACCATTCATAACACAAATGCTAATAAGAGTTGAAAACTCAGATACCTTTTGTAACCACTGATGTTACAGTGAACAATTTCTAGTCCTTATGGCAAGATTCTTCATGCAAAAAACAGCAAACTAATACAGGTAAACTTACTGTACCAAAAGGGAACTCACAGTGGCTGAGTCTCATAGTATCTACTGCTCAGAATGAGAAAAACACAGACTCAACAGATACTTTAAAGCCTTGGATTTATTAAATTATTCAAAACTGAAATAAGAGTATCCCTCAAACACATGCTGGTCCTCTTATTATCTACAATCTTATCATATTTCAAAACATTATGCAATTCTAAAATCCTTACTCCATAATCCATGAAAATATCTATTTGGCACAAGGTTCTCCCCATTTTACAGGTAGATAAATTACTCAAGAATAGAAAGGCAAAGCAATGTACACTAGCACAATATCTTTCTTTTCAGAGCATAAAGTTTTCTATACTCTGAGTATCTTTCATCAATGATTAAAAAAGGGGACTGAATTTCCATTCCATTCTCAATCAATCAACAAGAAAGCTGCAAAACCAGAAAAAAAGGCTGTATTTCCCTATTGATGAGAATTTCCAACCAGCTCTTTAAATTTCCAGAGCAAAGGTTCTCATCTTATTTTTGGCTGCTGTTATGGATCCTTTAAAGCATCTGTTGATATATATTTTTTTTCATCTGTTGATATATTACAAAATTCTTGTAACAATTAAAATGACAATGGAATAGACATTTCTCTAAAGAAAATATACAATGGGAAAAGAATCTTGAAAAAAAAGAGTAGATATATGTAGAACCAATTTACTTTATTGTACACCTGAAATTAATACATTGTAAGTCAAAAATACTCCAGTAAAAATTTGTTAAAAATAGCCAATAAGTACATGAAAATATGTTTAATGCTATTAGCCTTTAGGGAAATGCAAATCAAAACCACAAAGGTCTATTATTACTTCATACCACTAGGATGGCTATAATTAAAATGACAGATAATAAATGTAGGTGAGCAAGTGGAAAAACTGGAACCCTCACGTCCTGCTGGTAGGAAAGTAAAATGGTGTAGCAGCTTTGCAAAACAGTACCAGCCAATCCTCAAAGAGTTAAACACAGAATCATTATATGAACCAGCAACTCCACTTGTAATTATCTATCCAGGAGAAATGGAAACATATGCCCACACAAAGACTTGTACAATGTCTGTTCACAGCAGCATTATTCATAACAGCCAAAAAAGTAAAAACAACCCAAGTGTCCCTTAAATGGTGAAAGGATAAATGAAATGTGGTATATCTATATAAAGGAATACTATTTGGCAACAAAAATAAATGAAATACCGATATGCGCTATAACAGAATTTGAAAGTATTATTCTAGGTGAAAGAAGCCAAACCAATCACAAATAACCATACATTGTATGATCTCATTTATATGAAATATCCTAAACAAGCAAATTCACAGAGGCAGAAAATAGATTAGTGGTTTCCAGGGCCTGGGGACTGAGGAGGGATTGGAGGTATTGGCTAAGGAATATGGGGTTTCCTTTTGGGGTATTAAAAATGTTCTAAAATTCATTGTGGTAATGGAAGTACAATTCTGTGAATATGTTAAAAGCTGATGAAGCATACATTTTAAATTGTCAAATTTTATGGCAAGTGAATTATATCTCAATAAAGCTGTTTTTTTTAAAAAAGAATCTAGTTGAAAGTTAACACTCCATTAAAAAAATATACCCGGGCATACATGAGCATAAGCTTGCATCTAAACAAAAAAACCTAATGACTTCCCTGATGTCTATCTGTGAATCATAACCTAGGCTGAATAGTTAGTTACTGCCACATGTCAAATTAATACATCTTAAAGAAATTGCCTAAACAGAGCATCCAGTCTTTTAAAATATAAGTAAAAAAGTTCTGACTCCCCTCTAAAACTGCCAATGACTCTCTATCTTACTCAAGTCAAGCTTGAAATCCTTATGTCTAAAAATCCCTATCTGATCTGCTTCCTGCCCACTTCCATTTCTTAACACTCTTGCACTGTGGTCCTTCCACGAGGACCTCCCTGCTGCCTCTGCACACAAGCCAAGTGTGTTTCAGCTACAGGGCCTTAGCTGTTGCTAATCATGCCTTCTTTAACTTTTTAACCTATATATCCACATGATTAGCTCCCTTACTTCTTTTAAGGTTTCTGCTTCACTGTCACCTCTTCACAGAGGTTTTCTCTGTCTACCCTAAATAAAATAGGAACTCCTTAACATTCTATTCACCCTAGTACACTTTTGTTTTCTTTATAGCATTTATCAATTGACATATAATTATTTATTTTCTTGCTTTAAAATAAGCTTCTTCAGGGCTGGAACTTTATCTTTTGTTTTTTTCTGTTTTTCATACAGAATTTTTTAAATTAATTTTTGGTTGTGCTGAGTCTTCATTGCTGCCTTTGGGCTTTCTCTAGTTGCAGTGCTTGGGCTTCTCACTGCATGGGCTTCTCTTGCACAGGCTCTGGGTGAGCAGAATTCAGTAGTTGCAGCACATAGGCTCAGTAGTTGCGGCTCTCAGGCCCTACAGGGAATGCTCAGTATTATGGCGAATGGGCTAAGTTACTCTGACGCACTTGGAGTCTCCCTGGACCAGGGATCAAACCCGTGTCCCCAGCACTGGCAGGCAGATTTTCATCCACTGCACCACTAGGAAAGTCCTGGAATTTTGTCATTATTTTATCCCAGATCTCAGAACAATGCCTGGCACAAAGCAGGCACTCAGATATTCTGTTAAATTATTAGGGAAAACAGTGATCTTACAATAAGAGAAAAATTTATGAGACATAGACATGATACCCATTTGCAGACAATACTGAGGATGACTAACGGCAATACTTACTGCAGCACCAAACTTCTGCTGGAACTGATCAATGACTGTGTATGTCACCTCCTCTTCCTCTACAGGAGAACAATATTATATATATTTGTCTTCCTTGACAACAGAATAGCCCTCTCACTAAATTTTAGCCATACTCCTAAACTCCAACTCAACAGCAACTCAAATGTCTAGAACTACTGACACTATGTCTAGAATACTGAGAACTATTTCATTATCACCTGTATCAGTCCACCCCACTATTAGCATCTGAATTGTCAACTGAGAATAAACAAAAGCCCCAGTGATGATAATCTCATAAAGTGAAATATTTACTCATTTCCTGTGATAATCCATGTTTCCCTCACCACAGGTTTATGTTTTGAATATTTCAAGACAAGTACTTCCTTTTTAAAAAAATTTTTATACAGTTGTTAAAGGTTACACTCCATTTACAGTTATTACTGTAGTGATATAGTAATAGTGACTATATTCCCTGGTGTTGTACAATACATCCTTGTAGCCTATCTTACACACAATAATTAGTACTTCCCATCGCCACCCCCTACCCCATATATCACTCCCTGGTAACCACTAGTTTGTGTTCTGTATCCATGAATCCACTTCTTTTTTGTTATATTCACTAGTTTGCTGTAATTTTTAGATTCCACATATGTGATAATCATACAGTATTTAAGATGCCCCTATATTGGGCACATATATATTTATAATTATTATATCTTCTTCCTGGGTTGACCCCTTGACCATTATGTAGTGTCCTTTTTTGCCTCTTAAAACAGTCTTTGTTTTAAAGTCTATTTTGTCTGATATGAGTATTGCTACTCCAGGTTTCTTTTGATTTCCATTTTCGTGTAATACTGTCTTCCATCCCCCCCATACAGTATTTAAGACATATGCTTTCTAAAAGCATATTCATAATAAAAAATAGCATTTTAAAATAAATTAGTTCCGGTGATGGGCCAATGTCCACATATTTGGAATTCTCTGGATCCTGAAAATTATTTTTCTAATTATGTAATTTAAAATATTAGAGGTATAGCATAACATACACTAACGTGTCTAGAAGGAAATACAGGAGGAAATCTTTGTGAATTTGAGTTAGGAAAAATTTCTTAGACATGACATCAATAGCAAAATCCATAAAAGAAAGAAAATGGATAAACTGTACATCAAAGTTTAAAATGTCTTCTCTTCAAGAGATGCTTTGAGAGAATGAAAAGGCAAACCAGAGACTTGCAGAAATATTTGCAAAGCAAGTATTTGAGAAAAGACTTGTATCCAGAATATATATAAAAAAAACTTCCAGCACTGAATAATAAGAGAACAATCAAATAAGAAAATGAACAAGATATGAATAGACATTCACCAAAGATGTTCAGATGTCAAATAAGCACATTAAAAAATCCTCAACATCCTAAGTCATTAGGGAAATGAAAAAAACAACCAACCAACTTCCAATGGTTTCTCTTCTCACTGCAGAGTAAAAACCAAGCCCTTTTAATGATCAACAAAATCTTCCATGATCCACTCACCCCACCTCATCCCAAATTTTCTCCTTACTCCAGCTACACTCATCTCCTTACATCAAATCATGGCATATTCCTCTTTCAGGCCTTTGCATTTGTTCATTATTTATGCCTAAAACCCAGTTCCTCCGATATTCATACATTTTGATCCCTCACTTCCTTCAAAATTTTACTTCAAACGTCACCATTTCATTGAGACCTTTTCTGGACACCCCAAAATTGTAAAACCACCCTCTTCACACATTTCTTCTCTTTCATTTTTTTTTCTACTTAACATGTGGCACCAGCAAACTACATAGTATACTAATTTATCTTATTTAGTGTGTTTCATGCACCATAACTCAAGGAGTACAGAGATACCAAACTTTAGTATCCCCAGTGCCTGGCAGATAGTGTGCATGCAAATATTAAATAAATGAATCACAATCTTTTATCTTAATTTGGACCCTAGAAACAATGTCCTAGCTGAGAGTTCCATATAGAACTCTGAGTTTGAATCTGAAGAATTCTGATACACAAAAAAGCCTAGAAATTCAGAGCCCTAGTACTCACCAGATGGGCTGTACTTGAGGTCATTCAGAAGAGAGGTTATTGGCACCTCAGGAATAGGAGAAGCAGGCTTCTGTACATTTAGGTCTTCATTTTTTATTGTATCCATCTTGGTTTCTTCTGTATTTAGACTATAATTACATAAAACAACACTTAGGTGAACTTGTTTTTCGTTGTTAATGCCATACACACATCAGTGGTAAGGACTCTGGACCTTTCATAGAGAACCCATTCATCCACTGCTTACACTGATTTGAAGATACCATCTACCTGTTTTCTCATTTTAGGAACTACACAACTAGTGAATTAGAGTTAAGGTTTCTTACCCTAATGTGTATATTTGGGTAACATCATAATTAAGAAAATCATTCCATCATACCTAACAGAAGAAGACTTTTCTCTTACTGCACCGTGTTCCACTTCATCCAGTAGTTCCACTGTAAAATAACCAGATGGATTTAAACAGGGCTTCCAACCTGAAAGCAGTTTCCTACTCCTCTCTCACCCACACCCACAGTTTGATTATATAACACAGACAGTAACTGGAAATGAAATGTTAGTCCATAGAGGACTTCATGACCAGTAACAAATAGAGCAGACAAGACCAACCAAAGTACTGAAGACCCTTAATCTTACATCTCTACATAGCTTTCTTGGTCACTTAGCAGGATTAGGAACCTCTCTACATGTCCACTTTACCCTTTCTGTTCCAGGGCACTGTTGTGGTCAAGCAGATTGGTTCTAGAGATATCTTTTCTTTCCTTTTTATTCCCATCCTAATGCATCTTCCCTCACACTATGTACCATTTGGGGTTTTACTCTTAAATCATTCACACTGACTCTGTCACAGGCTGGTACACTAAAGGTCAGAAACATAAAAGGTAACAAAAGTTAGACTGGAAATCACAAAAGAAATATGAAAGAGACATTCCACAGAAACTCTGCAATCACTTTTTAATTAACCTAATGGTTCATGGAATACAGGGAAATATTATATTGATATATCATTGCTTCCAAGATGCACATTTTATTTTTTTTAAGATGCACATTTTAAACAGCTCTGAAATTGGATATGACTTACAGTAAATACACATGAAAACTAAACTGGCAGCTTTTTTTTCCTTTTTTTGGAAAAAGAAATAATGCACCTTATCGTTGATGGCATCTAAGATTCAATTAAGTACACTTGGATACTATTCAGTGGGGGCAGAAGCTTCTCAGGGGTCACTATGTTTCAAAATGTCTCTTTTCCCTACATTCTAAAAGTAATGAGCTTTGGTCAGAGAGAGCAAAATTCACTGAAAACACGTATTAGTCAATTGTTATTATTTTTTTGTATTAGTCAATTATTATCCTTCATCTTGATAGTTCTTATTCAAGGTGCTTTTCAACACCTTGGAGACACCTCCATGGCTGACTAAGCCACAGAGCAAAGAAAGAAGGAGATGACCATTCTCTGATCTTAAAATTATGAATGAAGTCCAAATCATGAGAATGAATTTAGGAGGAAGTGAATCCATCCGTACAAATCCCAAAGCTGGTCAGTGATCAGCCTTCTCCTGAGTTAGGAGATGGTAGGAGTGATTCGTTCATTTACTTTTACAAACTCATCTACAGCCTAGCTTTGTTCCAGTCCAGAAACTCTACTCTACTGCAAAGTCTAACAGTCAAAACACAATTAAGAATCCCTCTATACCACCACCATCACTGGTAATTTGAAAAGGTGTTCAAGAGACAAAAATTGTTTCCAGCAGCGTTCAGTTCAGTTCAGTCGCTCAGTTGTGTCCAACTCTTTGCAGCCCCATGGACTGCAGCACGCCAGGCCTCCCTGTCCATGACCAACTCCCAGAGTTTACTCAAACTCATGCCCATTGGGTCGGTGATGCTATCCAATCATCTCATCCACTGTCATGCCCTTCTCCTCCTGCCTTCAATGTTTCCCACCATCAGTGTATTTTCAAATAAGTCAGCTCTTCGCCTTTTCCTCCTGCCTTCAATTTTTCCCAGCATCAGGGTCTTTTCAAATGAGTGAGTTCTTCGCATCAGGTGGCCAAAGGATTGGAGTTTCAGCTTCAGCATCAGTCCTTCCAATGAATATTCAGGACTGATCTCCTTTAGGATGGACTGGTTTGATCTCCTTGCAGTCCAAGGGACTCTCAAGAGTCTTCTCCAACACCACAGTTCAAAAGCATCAATTCTTCGG